ACGAGCTCGCCAAAGCTTTGAAAGACCTTCAAAGGCACAAAAATAGACATATAAAAATATACTGGACGCGCGCGTTTAAAGCAGATCTTTAAATTAAACTGCTCAACAGCGAAATTTACACGTTTAGTAGAAACTGGGGCTAAATAATAAATGTCGTAATATTTTGTCGTAAGATTATTGATGACTGACGCCTCGGACAGACCAATCTGCATTTTCACCAAAAAATTGAACTGTTGATATTCATCAAAATTCAGTGGAAAATACTGATGTTTGCAAAGTCTAAATCTTCTACGGTTGGAGGCGCGATGGGAATTCAGTAATTCTTAAAAGTTACTTTAGCAAGGAAAAAAAACAAATGCTTAATAAGAGTCGCAGCCGTTTTTGTAAAGCCTGCTAAAGCTACAAAGTAGCAAGTTCTGAAGATGTATGTCGAAACATATGAAACGTCAAGTTAAATGATATAGTTTTACTTTTGTTTTCTAACAATCCATTTTATTAGGTGTCATGTTTATCACCACAGTTTGTGTGTTATTTCTTGTTAAGTATTATCGTTATATAGAATCGTTTCAAAGCTACTCAGTTAGAACCACTTAACAGTAATTGTTCGAGGTATTTCAAAATAGGCAAAACGAATTTGCTATTTGTCCAGCGAGTGTTGAATTAACTTTAATATGAATAACGGTGAAACATGAAAGATATACCAATTTCACTTTTAGATCCACTTTTCCCGCGAACGGCGAACGGCTTGGGGTCACGTGACTAGGACCAGACGTCGCAGTTGTAGATTTCTATAAACTCCACTTTACTCCAATCTATATCTACTGACTTTCGAACGACAAACGACAAACGTCCAACCTCAAACCGCAGTTAGATTTTTGCAGTAAGCGTGGATCTAAAGGTCTCCAATCATGAAACGCCTTCAGAATAATATAAGTACAAGTAATTCCTACTTCTTTAATTGCGTCACCAACAATACAAAAGCGGAAAAAGTCTCGACAGCCTTTGTTAATTTTTTCCTTTTCTGAAATAAATACCTTGAAACAAAGGATATATTTAAAGAACTTTGTCAACGAACAACAATGAAAGAAACAATTGAGCGACCAGCGCTGGTATATTTTGATGCATATTCCTTTGTATAAACTGATTTCAATCGGATTTAAAATTTCGAACGGTTTAAAATTTGGCAGCTGAACTATCTGGTTGAACAATGGTTTGAAAATAGAAGTTCAAGAGATAAAGTTTGTTTTGTCTTATGAGTTTGACAACCCTGAGGCATGTTTTGAATTAGTTTTAGGCCATTTCCTCATCTCCTCCGCCACAGAGCCGGCTCTGTCTGGATTTCACGGAGGAGGGAAAAAACCTACTGGATTATATTCATTCATACCTGTAGATCTCTCACTGTATTAGAAACCTGATGTTAGAGTGTATAACTATAGTCACGGTCTTCGCCTGTTGCACCAAACCCCTCTCTCCTTTTTTCGCCCGCCGTTTTTTCTCGTTGCGCCCCAACTCACTGAAGGCCTGGAAGAGGCTACGAGCTCGCCAAAGCATCGAAAGACTCACAGAAATATACTGGACGCACGCGGTACAAGCAGATCTGTGATAAGGAAAATTTTAATGTAATCATTCAGTTTGCAACGAGCTAAATACGTGACTACAAAGAAGTCGTTTAGAATTCAATAGAACTCTCAATACCACACAGGAAACCGCTTGGTCATAAATTGGTTTTAACGATCTACATTTAAGAGACGTCAGTGTATCAGCTCCCACACAAATTTAAACAAACATCACTTTACACGATACATAAAATTTTTTCGTCGAATCAAGTCAACTTCAAATCATGCATTAGTTTAATAGATGAACAATTCTAGAGAGGATTGAAGGGGACTCTAAGCGACGAACGTAAACATTTCCCGGCAAGATGTGCTATCGAAGACGTAGTCCACCCACACGTCACGTGACCTACAGTGAAGTTGAAATGACGTGATTGACGTGTATATAGAGATTGTGAAAGTCGAAGTGAAGTGAGAGATAACCAGGAATAAGTTAAAAGAAGCACTTTTACGTGAAAACATTACATCATTACGGGTACACGGGTTGAGTTTGTCATCACAAAGCTTCAGTGAGTTGTCCGATAATTCGTCGCAAACCCAGTTAACCAGTCTCTTCATCGAGCATTAGTCTGCCAAAGTATCGCACTTAGATACTCTTAGATCTTCAAATGGGTTTTTTCTACTACTGTTAACACTCTAGCTAAGGAGTGGAATATTAGGTTCTGATTCCAGCCATTTTGCTGAAATTCGGCTACCCTCAATCCATCCCTATCCGATTTACAAGACTGACTACTCAAAAATATGTACGGTAGAGTGTTCTAGAACAAAAAGTTATAAGCGTCACTAATTTTGTTTTGTGCGTGTGTCGCGCTTATGCATGCAGTTTTTAAGCCAATATAAGTTAGTAGTATACATCGTTAAACTGTCGTTCTTGTGTTATGCCTGATGACCACAGAAGAGTACATCGTCAATGTTAAGTCAGAGTGTAAAAGATTGTGTTTAAAGATCCAAAGAGTAATGCATTCGACTGAAGTGAAGCGTTCAAATCAAATGTATTATTTAACTGATTCGTTCGAACGTAAGCAAGTCCCACGACTCACGTAATATAGCCGCCTGTAGTTAAAATCCTTGAATTGAATACGTCAGTTATGCGTGCGAAAAGACGCAGCAATATCCAACTTATCGATGCCGAATTAACTCCACTTCACTTCACAGACCAAGGCATAAAGTAATTAAACCTGCTGTATTGATCCGCTTATTTGTCTTTAAAGTCACGTATCACTCAGGCTGTGATGATGCCAATAGTGATGTTTTTCCTGAGACGAAAACATTCTATAGAAGAAAACATTCTCTGAAGACCAAAGTCTATAAGCTCGGATTCCCGCCGTTTTGTGTCCTGTTGTCATTCTCAACCTCTCCCTCCCCACCCCCAAAAATCCCTCACTACTCGCCTTTGAAAGAATGATGCTGATTGGTCAGCGCCAGGTGGTGAGCGAGACCAAGAGTTATAGCGTTTATCCTCGCAATATTAAACATTCACATTGCGGGAATTAGAAGAAAAGCTGTCTTGAGATTTCAGTTGTAAACAGAATTGTAATTTAATTATATTCACGCGCCGAACTGTCATGTACACATCTGTATCCATAGCAACAGGCAAAACGAGCAATCGGCACTTTTTTCCTCGATACATAATTACGGTTGTTACTTACCGGCAAATATTGACCAGATTTTAGTGAAAAAACCGTGATAGAAAGATTTCCGCGACTTAAACGTGGGAGTTTTCGGTCTAAGACGTTTCTTGTCTGAGAAATATAAAAGCACACGCGACCACCGCGTGCATTAGCAACACAACAAACATCTCACAAATACAGCAAACAATCAAATATGGCTACCTCTAACAATAAATATAGCTGATATATTGATACATTTTGCACCTGGGAATACATTTTTTCTGTTGAAAATTCAATTACAGACGTCGTTATCATTGCTTCTTTGATCAGTAAAGGCCCCAGGGTATTTTAGACGAAAGCGGAAAAAGGGAGAGAAAGCTAAGATCAAAGACTGCGCGTAACGAGAGGTTTTTTCAACAAGTGAACATATACACTGCCTTATTAAGATTTTGTCATTTATATTCATCAATATAACTAGTGTGGCAGTACTTTAAACAGCTCCAGGTTGTGTTATGTTGTTGAAGCTATATTAACCGCCTAAACTTAATTAACCCGGACAACTATTAAATGTGTTTGTTTGTCTTCTCGTGAATGCGGAAAGTTTTGCCCAAATGCCGCTAAAGACCTAATTCTCTTTTACACGCGAAACGCTATCAAAGGAAGGGAGAACTTATCAAAAACCACAAGAAAAACATTGCTACACAGTTGCCCTAAATTATTGTTTCTTAGCGTACAATAATTTTCTTAGTGCCAGGATTAGCTAAAGATCTTTACTCAAAACACAGAACTTTAGTGTTATATTGTCTAATTATAGCAATAAAATGCTCAGTTATGCATGCGTCGTATTGTACTGAGCGAATACATGTGTGCATTTTTTTGTAAAAACAAAATCGAAATATAAAGATTAATATGAACCATTGCTCAGAGCTTCGACACTTTAAAACTCGCACAGTTCCAACAGTTAAAAAAAACTTCAAAGTTTTTGGACATTCACTCCAGACCGTGATGTCTGAGCTAACATGCACTTAAATCGCCAGCGATGACATCACGTTATTTTCAAACAGGAAAAAATTCCGTACTCCCAATGGGTTTGTTGCTGCGTCAAACAGCTAGACTGCATACACAATTTTCACGTTTACGTTCAACTTAATTGTGTCGCCGCTAATTCCTTTCGTCCACTTGGTAGATTTTTCCCGCGCTCTCAAGACATTTTCCGTTTGTAGGACAATACATCGCGTTACTGAAATAAATGTCATTTGCTAGTCAGTTAATTTTTGAGAACAATTAGACTTTTGAGGCTATTTACTACACATTGATAAGAAGGTGAAGATATTGCTGCAATCAAAGAAATTTTGAAATTACAAGTTGAAGATTCGTTCAAAAAAATCAATAGACGAGTATATTTTGCTCATTGAAGCTTCGAAGCTCTCGTTGTGAGCAAAACAAAGCTCATGTTTCACATGTTGTTGTTTTTATTTTTTTCACTTCAACAAGTCATTATTGATATTCGAAGAAAACTTGAAAACAAGCAGCCTTGCAATTTAATAACTTTTAAACTATTCATTTTGGATAAGTTGTCCGCGTCAGATAATTAACGGTATAAAGAAAGAATCTTAAACATAGATAAAACTGCGTATGCCTCATGCTAAACCGGGTTAAAATTATAAAATTTTTCTGTTTCTGCGACTGACTTACGTAAGTATCACTCGAGCGAAACGTTTAACAAAGGGGTCCTCACGTCTATTAAACCTTTTATCATTCTAAACAATACTAAACTAATTTCTGGTTTTTAACACGAAATCGATTTTCCCATAAGATACCAATGAAGCAACTGCAGACGTAATTGTCAACAGCAGATTTCAATTTGGCAGTTTTGTAATAATAATAAAAAAAAACGTGTTTGATTGAGTTTATCTCCTATAGCTGCTGAGGGCAGCCATACAGCCCCATCGCGGAAAAACTAACCAAGGATAACGACCACAAATTATGAGGCGAAAACAAGAGAAAAAAATCAGTTTAAACTCCCTCGCAAACACTATGCTCACGTTTTCCAAAGTGTTTTACACTCATGTCGAGCTGCAAGGAAACCGTTAATAGTGTGTCTAAGGAAATGTGTATCTTTAATACTGGCATAGAAGAAATCATGGACTGGGGAAAACGGATCGGTCTTTTTGAGACAATTACGTGTATAGGGCCTTCACGGATTACTTGCATCGCCCACGATTAATTAAATAATTCAAATGAGTTTCATTGTATGAATAGACAGAACACAAAAGCAGTGATAATGCACTCCAAAATGTTCCGGGTTGTCGGTATATATTCAGCGGTTTAAACCAGTTGGATTTTCATTGAAGAGCGGATTTCATTTGAAGCAGAGTCAGTGCGTTATTCTCTTCAACGGCTCACCAGCAGGTAAATGTGACTTAAAGCTCTTATCTCTCAATTTTGCTAATACCTAACTATTTTCTTAATACTTGACTATTTTGTTAGACTATTTTAAGAAGCACAGTATTAGACATTCTTGGGGACTGGAAGTTTGCGTTCAAATTTCGATAACATTTTTGTCTGCGCAACACCATGCAAAACGAGCTGCATGGAGTTTCCAAAACTCGATCCGAGTGGCCAACGGGTGCATTTTGTCCAAATCGTTTTTAAATATAAATAATTGTACGTTAATTCTTTGCTCACTTGTGGAAAGGAAATATTTCATTTTGATTTGTTTATTACATGGGACCTGTAAATTACGCTGCGTCACAATACGGCCTCTCACGGTTATCCTAGCCAAGATTGTTCCTGTTTGTTCCTTTACTGATCACTATTGCGCCGATGAACATAACGTCGATGTTCGAGAATCGTTCACAATTTTACCTATCAATTTTTCCTGTTTGTTTCTGTTATCAGCGTTGCAGATGCAGTGCCTTCAGTTAGGGTTTATTTTGGAATCATAGCGCCTTCAAATTACAAAATTTTCGAACATTTCCGAACCTGAAAGCCATCCGTGGCAGCAAAAGTTACATAGCTACTGCTTTTATACATTGCCATATAAAAGTATTTCATTTACCGCTAGTTATGAGAATTCAGGGATACATCAAAGCAAGTTACAAGCCTAGCGCACCTTGATAATGCGGTTTCGTTACTTTAAACGACCTGATGAAACATTTGGAAAAATGAAAAGGGCACATTGCAGCGTGATGGAAAGATAAGGCGAGAAGCAGACGGTTTAGAACTCTGAGCAGAAATTATGTTCTACGAGTGTGTCTAAGTGAAATGAGTGAACCGGAGGAAAATTTGTGTAAATCACGTGTTTCCAGAGACAAGCAAACTGTGTATTCTTAAGCTGGTCTTTTTTTTTTTAATTTTTCGTCTGTCACTGGTGTGAAAAAGTGGCCCCCTTTAGCTTCTTTTCTATAATTAACCTTTTTTCCGCTTTCGACGACCAGAAACTTTGAAAGCAAACAGTGCAAAATACTTAGAACATGAATAACTAATTAATGCCCTTTAATACATGCAAAACATTTTCCTGTTTACTCGAAGGTAACAATAGAAACTCTTAGATACGCAAAAGGCACTTGAGGTCTCCAATACACACAACGTTAATTTTCCGCATTTTTTCAATTTAACGTAAGTGCGAACCCCCAAGTGAGGCAAGTCCCGCCCCCAAGTGAGGCAATAGGCTATGAGAACGAGGTTGCAGTACAAATAGAAGAGAAGAATTTTTAGTTTGGCCGTATGTTATTGACTAACCCTGGAGGGCTGGACGCGAGAGACATTTTGAAGGGTTTGGGAAAGAGAGCTGAAGATTTGCAATTAAAGCTACTTTCTGCAAGCGCAGAAAGTTGATTTAGACCGTTTGCGCGCACTGAAATTGAAAATATATATATGTGAGCCAGTTTATTTCTAGAACTTTTTAATATTTATTTTAAACACCTAATTGCTTGCCACTGTTTTTGGAAGACAACTCGACTTGGGATTTTCACTTTTTTTAGCACGCGGTGGTAATTTTCCGCTTGTACCTGTGAATGAAAAGAAAAAACTGAATGCAAATAAATAATAATTGAAATACAAAAGATGACAAAAAGCTAACCGCAAAGACATTTTTACATGCTAATTATTTTAGAGTATCGAGGTTGCGCACTAAGTTTGTGGTTCATTTCATTGACATGCGATCAAATGAAAGAATATAAGAATTCATGTGTAGTGTGTGTGCGCTCGGGATGGAATAAAACCCACATTCTCTCTTTAAAACGCGAACGTAAGGAAAGAAAATAGCTTAAGTATATTTTGCCGTCGAGCTAACTGGCTTCATGTTGTTAAGATGCAAAACATTCCCAAGCTGTTTTCTTCTCGACGCTATTATTTTGCGGTAAGGGCAAAATATGCACAAAGGGACAAGATTCACGAGCGAATACTCCATGCCAAAACGCGGGAAAACTCACCAACCGCAACTAATTCCTCCCTAAGACACTAATGCACTGTCAATCGCTCATGTAATGAGAATTAAAACAACCATCAAACTAATTCTGCCTAAGTGAAGCGGCCAAAACACTCAAAACTAACGTTGAGTTCAATGTATGGAGCTCGCTGACAAGAATTAATATTTCAATATGAGTATAATGAAAATAGGAGCTGACTTACAAGCTTTCACAGTGATCAACGATCCAATTAACATATGTTTCATAAATGGACACGGCTCAATTATCAACAGATCAATACGCGAAGAGGCAAGCAAAACCTTTGCTGACGTCACTGTTTACATTTTTCTTCATTAACATACGACTTTGCTCAGTAAGGGCATCACGCTAGACACGAATTGACTACAAACATTTCAAGAGCTTGTGAAATTTAGTAATTGGTGAAATTTTTGCTTCTATGGGTGAAATATTCAAGGAGAAATTGACTTTCAAAAACTGCAACATTGCTGGGTGGCAATAGCGCTAATGAACTCGTACATTCTTTGTAAAAATTTTGAGCTTTTAAATACGCGTCGCACAAAACGTATTCGATACATCGGGCTCAAATTCCTTGGGACAGTTCATCGTGCTGTGCCCTTTCAATATTCAGAAGTAATGTTTTTGCAACTCCATCAGAAACTGTATCGTCTATGCTAATGGACAAATATTGTAAACAAAGATTCTCCTCAGTACAGTGTAGATAAGGTGAAAATCGATTGATCCAAACATATAGGAAAGGTTACTTTCTCAGAATAAAATTTGTTCGTTACAAATTTATGAATGCTGTGCATCAATTAATTTAAACATCGCAGATTGTTTTGCAAAGAACGCAATAGAGGAATCCTTGTTTACAATATTTGCCTCATTATAGCATAAGCAATTAAGTTTCTGATGGAGCTGTGCAACACAGGTTTAAAAACTCAAAATTTTACAAAGAATGTATGAGCTCATTAGCGCTTTGGCCACCCAGAAATTTTGCAGTTTTTGAAAGGCAATATTTCCTTGAATATCTCACCCAAAGAGCTAAAATTTTACCATATATTAAGTTTCACTAGCTCTTTATATGCCTGGAGTCAATAGACCTTTCCCGCATTCCAAAAAACAATAGCGCCAAGTCGAGGTCAGGATGGACAAAAATACAGTAAATGTATGAAAATGTCCACCCCAACCTCGCTCTGGCGCTATTGTTCGTACGCACTGAAGTGGAATGCGGGAAAGGTCCATTCATATCTAACATGTTTCCTTCTGTACGCAAAGCAAATGAGCAAAAATGTAAACAATGACGTCAACATAGATCCTCCAATAAGAGATCAGTGTGATTGTCAGGGGTGACCAATACAGATTATTTTAGAATACTGTCTGACTTGAATCCCATGAGACGCTTTCCATCCCTGTGAATAGATGAGGGGATTGTCGTTGTCTTTTCTTCTTCCAGCCAGTCAAACCTCTTAATGCAATATAGAATTATAGCGGAGCTCCGGCGGCCCGAAGGGCCACCAAGCGGAGCCCCATACTCAAAGAAACCCGTGAATGGCTTTTTTCTTGGTAAAAACGGCTAACGGTGTTGCTTGTGGGTACGTAGACACGACGACGACGACGTTGACGTATAAATAAACGTTGTTAACTGCTTTTGTTTTGTGTAGTTTGAGATTATTCAGACTCGGAAGGCCAAGCAATATGAAAAGAAAACTTAAAAATACCCAAATCAAAATTTCGTTTATCCTGGTTTACCTTAATAAAGCTCTGACTATGACCAACCGACCCGGGAGTTCCGCTTTTAGGCTTGGCTAAATCGATATGTTAAAGTTATTCTTAGCGTGAATCATTTTAAAGGCTGTGGAAGAAAATCCTTTTGTGTGATAATTCAAAAGAACGCAGATGAGCAGTCGTTTCACGGGGTACCTTTTACCGGCTATGCTGTACAACACGGTTCTAAATTTTAAGTTTGCGGATTAAACCCCAGTGTGTGACCATTCAAACGAAAGGTACTGAGCAGTACTTTCATGTAGCTAGTACTGTTTATTACGCTGTACAAGGTGGCTCTAACTTTTAAGTCTGTGGATAAAACCCTAGTGTGTGACCACTCAAATGAAAGCTATTGACCAGTACTTTCATGTGGTGCTGTTTATAAAGTCAGTAAATAAAACCTATTGTCTGTGAACATTCAAATGAAAGCTCTTCAGCAGTAAAGAAAGGGTACACATTTATTTTAAACGTCAACTAGCAGCTAGCTTTACTTAAATGTCTGTGTCTTCTTTAGTCAGCATGATGGGCCGTTTCCCCAATGGTTTGGTTCTTGTTGTGGTCCTGGGCTTGGGGCTGACAACATCTTACAAGATTGATGACGCTTTCCCGTCGGAATGGGAAAAGGACACGGTAGAAGACATGACCGATGAAATGAACCGGCTGGATAAACTGAAAAATAAGAAGAAAGACGAAGAACAAGCGAAACGCGTGGCTTCGCCAGGCTCAGGCGACTTCCTCGAAAACAAGATGCTGGAGTTTGTAGATGATTGTAAGTTGGACACCCAAAACAAGATTCCTGAGAAAGAGATAGCCGAGNTTATAGCAATAAAATGCTCAGTTATGCATGCGTCGTATTGTACTGAGCGAATACATGTGTGCATTTTTTTGTAAAAACAAAATCGAAATATAAAGATTAATATGAACCATTGCTCAGAGCTTCGACACTTTAAAACTCGCACAGTTCCAACAGTTAAAAAAAACTTCAAAGTTTTTGGACATTCACTCCAGACCGTGATGTCTGAGCTAACATGCACTTAAATCGCCAGCGATGACATCACGTTATTTTCAAACAGGAAAAAATTCCGTACTCCCAATGGGTTTGTTGCTGCGTCAAACAGCTAGACTGCATACACAATTTTCACGTTTACGTTCAACTTAATTGTGTCGCCGCTAATTCCTTTCGTCCACTTGGTAGATTTTTCCCGCGCTCTCAAGACATTTTCCGTTTGTAGGACAATACATCGCGTTACTGAAATAAATGTCATTTGCTAGTCAGTTAATTTTTGAGAACAATTAGACTTTTGAGGCTATTTACTACACATTGATAAGAAGGTGAAGATATTGCTGCAATCAAAGAAATTTTGAAATTACAAGTTGAAGATTCGTTCAAAAAAATCAATAGACGAGTATATTTTGCTCATTGAAGCTTCGAAGCTCTCGTTGTGAGCAAAACAAAGCTCATGTTTCACATGTTGTTGTTTTTATTTTTTTCACTTCAACAAGTCATTATTGATATTCGAAGAAAACTTGAAAACAAGCAGCCTTGCAATTTAATAACTTTTAAACTATTCATTTTGGATAAGTTGTCCGCGTCAGATAATTAACGGTATAAAGAAAGAATCTTAAACATAGATAAAACTGCGTATGCCTCATGCTAAACCGGGTTAAAATTATAAAATTTTTCTGTTTCTGCGACTGACTTACGTAAGTATCACTCGAGCGAAACGTTTAACAAAGGGGTCCTCACGTCTATTAAACCTTTTATCATTCTAAACAATACTAAACTAATTTCTGGTTTTTAACACGAAATCGATTTTCCCATAAGATACCAATGAAGCAACTGCAGACGTAATTGTCAACAGCAGATTTCAATTTGGCAGTTTTGTAATAATAATAAAAAAAAACGTGTTTGATTGAGTTTATCTCCTATAGCTGCTGAGGGCAGCCATACAGCCCCATCGCGGAAAAACTAACCAAGGATAACGACCACAAATTATGAGGCGAAAACAAGAGAAAAAAATCAGTTTAAACTCCCTCGCAAACACTATGCTCACGTTTTCCAAAGTGTTTTACACTCATGTCGAGCTGCAAGGAAACCGTTAATAGTGTGTCTAAGGAAATGTGTATCTTTAATACTGGCATAGAAGAAATCATGGACTGGGGAAAACGGATCGGTCTTTTTGAGACAATTACGTGTATAGGGCCTTCACGGATTACTTGCATCGCCCACGATTAATTAAATAATTCAAATGAGTTTCATTGTATGAATAGACAGAACACAAAAGCAGTGATAATGCACTCCAAAATGTTCCGGGTTGTCGGTATATATTCAGCGGTTTAAACCAGTTGGATTTTCATTGAAGAGCGGATTTCATTTGAAGCAGAGTCAGTGCGTTATTCTCTTCAACGGCTCACCAGCAGGTAAATGTGACTTAAAGCTCTTATCTCTCAATTTTGCTAATACCTAACTATTTTCTTAATACTTGACTATTTTGTTAGACTATTTTAAGAAGCACAGTATTAGACATTCTTGGGGACTGGAAGTTTGCGTTCAAATTTCGATAACATTTTTGTCTGCGCAACACCATGCAAAACGAGCTGCATGGAGTTTCCAAAACTCGATCCGAGTGGCCAACGGGTGCATTTTGTCCAAATCGTTTTTAAATATAAATAATTGTACGTTAATTCTTTGCTCACTTGTGGAAAGGAAATATTTCATTTTGATTTGTTTATTACATGGGACCTGTAAATTACGCTGCGTCACAATACGGCCTCTCACGGTTATCCTAGCCAAGATTGTTCCTGTTTGTTCCTTTACTGATCACTATTGCGCCGATGAACATAACGTCGATGTTCGAGAATCGTTCACAATTTTACCTATCAATTTTTCCTGTTTGTTTCTGTTATCAGCGTTGCAGATGCAGTGCCTTCAGTTAGGGTTTATTTTGGAATCATAGCGCCTTCAAATTACAAAATTTTCGAACATTTCCGAACCTGAAAGCCATCCGTGGCAGCAAAAGTTACATAGCTACTGCTTTTATACATTGCCATATAAAAGTATTTCATTTACCGCTAGTTATGAGAATTCAGGGATACATCAAAGCAAGTTACAAGCCTAGCGCACCTTGATAATGCGGTTTCGTTACTTTAAACGACCTGATGAAACATTTGGAAAAATGAAAAGGGCACATTGCAGCGTGATGGAAAGATAAGGCGAGAAGCAGACGGTTTAGAACTCTGAGCAGAAATTATGTTCTACGAGTGTGTCTAAGTGAAGTGAGTGAACCGGAGGAAAATTTGTGTAAATCACGTGTTTCCAGAGACAAGCAAACTGTGTATTCTTAAGCTGGTCTTTTTTTTTTTAATTTTTCGTCTGTCACTGGTGTGAAAAAGTGGCCCCCTTTAGCTTCTTTTCTATAATTAACCTTTTTTCCGCTTTCGACGACCAGAAACTTTGAAAGCAAACAGTGCAAAATACTTAGAACATGAATAACTAATTAATGCCCTTTAATACATGCAAAACATTTTCCTGTTTACTCGAAGGTAACAATAGAAACTCTTAGATACGCAAAAGGCACTTGAGGTCTCCAATACACACAACGTTAATTTTCCGCATTTTTTCAATTTAACGTAAGTGCGAACCCCCAAGTGAGGCAAGTCCCGCCCCCAAGTGAGGCAATAGGCTATGAGAACGAGGTTGCAGTACAAATAGAAGAGAAGAATTTTTAGTTTGGCCGTATGTTATTGACTAACCCTGGAGGGCTGGACGCGAGAGACATTTTGAAGGGTTTGGGAAAGAGAGCTGAAGATTTGCAATTAAAGCTACTTTCTGCAAGCGCAGAAAGTTGATTTAGACCGTTTGCGCGCACTGAAATTGAAAATATATATATGTGAGCCAGTTTATTTCTAGAACTTTTTAATATTTATTTTAAACACCTAATTGCTTGCCACTGTTTTTGGAAGACAACTCGACTTGGGATTTTCACTTTTTTTAGCACGCGGTGGTAATTTTCCGCTTGTACCTGTGAATGAAAAGAAAAAACTGAATGCAAATAAATAATAATTGAAATACAAAAGATGACAAAAAGCTAACCGCAAAGACATTTTTACATGCTAATTATTTTAGAGTATCGAGGTTGCGCACTAAGTTTGTGGTTCATTTCATTGACATGCGATCAAATGAAAGAATATAAGAATTCATGTGTAGTGTGTGTGCGCTCGGGATGGAATAAAACCCACATTCTCTCTTTAAAACGCGAACGTAAGGAAAGAAAATAGCTTAAGTATATTTTGCCGTCGAGCTAACTGGCTTCATGTTGTTAAGATGCAAAACATTCCCAAGCTGTTTTCTTCTCGACGCTATTATTTTGCGGTAAGGGCAAAATATGCACAAAGGGACAAGATTCACGAGCGAATACTCCATGCCAAAACGCGGGAAAACTCACCAACCGCAACTAATTCCTCCCTAAGACACTAATGCACTGTCAATCGCTCATGTAATGAGAATTAAAACAACCATCAAACTAATTCTGCCTAAGTGAAGCGGCCAAAACACTCAAAACTAACGTTGAGTTCAATGTATGGAGCTCGCTGACAAGAATTAATATTTCAATATGAGTATAATGAAAATAGGAGCTGACTTACAAGCTTTCACAGTGATCAACGATACAATTAACATATGTTTCATAAATGGACACGGCTCAATTATCAAAAGATCAATAAGCGAAGAGGCAAGCAAAACCTTTGCTGACGTCACTGTTTACATTTTTCTTCATTAACATACGACTTTGATCAGTAAGGGCATCACGCTAGACACGAATTGACTACAAACATTTCAAGAGCTTGTGAAATTTAGTAATTGGTGAAATTTTTGCTTCTATGGGTGAAATATTCAAGGAGAAATTGACTTTCAAAAACTGCAACATTGCTGGGTGGCAATAGCGCTAATGAACTCGTACATTCTTTGTAAAAATTTTGAGCTTTTAAATACGCGTCGCACAAAACGTATTCGATACATCGGGCTCAAATTCCTTGGGACAGTTCATCGTGCTGTGCCCTTTCAATATTCAGAAGTAATGTTTTTGCAACTCCATCAGAAACTGTATCGTCTATGCTAATGGACAAATATTGTAAACAAAGATTCTCCTCAGTACAGTGTAGATAAGGTGAAAATCGATTGATCCAAACATATAGGAAAGGTTACTTTCTCAGAATAAAATTTGTTCGTTACAAATTTATGAATGCTGTGCATCAATTAATTTAAACATCGCAGATTGTTTTGCAAAGAACGCAATAGAGGAATCCTTGTTTACAATATTTGCCTCATTATAGCATAAGCAATTAAGTTTCTGATGGAGCTGTGCAACACAGGTTTAAAAACTCAAAATTTTACAAAGAATGTATGAGCTCATTAGCGCTTTGGCCACCCAGAAATTTTGCAGTTTTTGAAAGGCAATATTTCCTTGAATATCTCACCCAAAGAGCTAAAATTTTACCATATATTAAGTTTCACTAGCTCTTTATATGCCTGGAGTCAATAGACCTTTCCCGCATTCCAAAAAACAATAGCGCCAAGTCGAGGTCAGGATGGACAAAAATACAGTAAATGTATGAAAATGTCCACCCCAACCTCGCTCTGGCGCTATTGTTCGTACGCACTGAAGTGGAATGCGGGAAAGGTCCATTCATATCTAACATGTTTCCTTCTGTACGCAAAGCAAATGAGCAAAAATGTAAACAATGACGTCAACAAAGATCCCCCAATAAGAGATCAGTGTGATTG